GCACCCACCCATTCACCCATGCACCCATGTACCCATCCATCCATCCACCCCACCCATTGACCCACCCATGCACCCATGCACCCACCCATTCACCCATGCACCCACCCATTCACCCATGCACCCATGTACCCATCCATCCATCCACCCCACCCATTGACCCACCCATGCCCTCATGCACCCATGCTGCCATCTACTCATCAGCCTATCCACCAATTCACCACATATTTCACCATTTCTCTTACTATATTCCAGAGACAGAGAATGTTGGTAAAGCTCATATAGCCCTGGCTCAACAGCTACTGGATGACCTTGAGAAAGCAATGAGAGAATTTAGAGAAACACAGAGAGCAAAACGAAAACAGGTGACAGTGCTTCAATGATAGATTTTTCTCTATTATTGTGCTTTATTATATATATGCTATACATGACTTTCAAAAATTGTGTCAAAGTCATTCATCTCACCAGTTCAAGTTCTTTTAAGTGTCTTTTGAAGTAAGGGTGAATGACTTTGACACAAAATATCGTACTGAGTAGACTTTGTTTACTAATGAGGCCTTTCTGACCTTGCTTCCATGCAATTGTCCCTAGTCCCAACCGAGTTTGGCGGCCATTTTTGAAAGTCTTGCATACATTCCTGGGCTAACAACCCTGTCTCCTAAAACAACCGTGTTATGGAAACAGCAACAGAGGAAAAGACTTTAACCTAATTTTTGCTGCCCTACATGCCAGCAGGCAAAATGGGCAGTAAGTAATTAAGTAATGCATTCCTGGGTTTCAGTTGATGCCTGTCTTGCACAGAATGCTCATCAGGTGAATTACAGCTGAATCATCTGAATTCTTTCTGGTTGACAGCACATGTTGGTCATTGTTTTAATCACCATTTGGAGCAGATACTGAGCTAAATTAGATTCAAAGACATTTATCAGCTTATTAAATACCAGCAATTCTTTCTGGTCGAAAAGACATATGATGGTCAGTGTTTGAAGTACTGTTTAATAAACGAGCAGAAGTGTTTTATCAGGATTTAAGGACATGAGGCGTAGCCGAGTGTTTTTAGACCTGATAAAACACGATCTGCGAGTTTATTGAACGGCTTAAAAAACTCATGATGTATGTTCTCATATTGTACATGAATTCTTTACGAAATGAACCAAGTTTGATAGAGAAAATCCAAGTTAAAGTTTATGCAAATGAAGACGAATCTATATCAGATATAAAACCTCCTTCATGGTCAAGATTTCTATTGTGTTTCCTTCATGAATTATTAATGAGTTTTTTAACAGCATTTGGAGCAGAAATACCGGTAGACATTTTTTTGAAATTTTGAAGACCTTTATCAGCTGATTAAGACCAAACAACTGTTTCTGTCAAGAGGAATGTCGACCCAAACGATTCACCCAAGTTCTTCTCCAAATTAATTGCACCTTGACTATAGGGTTTATAAATGATTTGTTTTTAGGTTGAAGAGGTGGTGAAGAAAGCACAAAGAAATAAGAAAAATCATTATGACAATACTATAAAGGTAAGAAACTGTCTGGTTAACAATAGTCACTTCTCACTGAGAACCTGCGAAAATCCTCTAAAAAACCTGTGAAATTTCAGAAATGCAGAGATATTTTTGACAGGTTTTTCAAAGGATTTTCACAGGTTCTCAGCCATTGTGAATAATGAGGAAACTATATTTTTGATTACAATTAAAAAAAATTTTTTTTTACTTATTAATGATGGTAATTGAACTGAGTGGAGTGCAATTTGGTCTGAAATCAAACGCGCGATTACAAAATCACATGACCGCGTAGCGGGAGTGTGATTTGTAATTGCAAGTTTGATTTCAGACCAAAATTGCACGACACGAAGTTCAATTACCATCATTAATTTATGCTCTATAGAAAGTGCCTTCAATCTCAGACTTGGGTGCTATAGAGTGCAAACAATATAACTGTGAAACTTTAGTAATACTACATAGCACAATTTCATACAAATTCCATTGTTTTCTATCGTTTAACTAGCACTATTTTGTACTATTTAATAATTAGTGTTTCACGGATTAATTGTTTGCACTCTACAAGTAAAATTATTTTTATTAATTATTATTTATTATTTGCTTGTTTCTGTAGCTGAAACGGTCTTATGAGCAGAAGTGTAAAGACCACGATGCTGCAGACGACTGTCTGAAGAGGTCTGTGTCAACAGCGAGTAAGGATGAAGAAAAGGTGAGGCGTTGTTATTTGGATGATGAGACATGATGATGATGATGGTGATGATGATGATG